AATTCACATGGCCCCACTCCAATACGGAGGGGAAACGGCTGTAGAATGGCCGTCCAAGAGAGAGGAATTCCCTATATGGAACCCCAAGCAATCTGAAGAAAAGATAAGCATTCTTTCTCTGACACACACACACACACACACACACACACACACACACACACACACACACACACACACACACACACACACACACACACACACACACACACACACCTCCACCGCGGACGTGACAAAAGGCGACGCTCCAGCCACGGGCGAGCAGTGGCACCAGCCGCTGGGAATAATCTGCAAATGGCCACCAGAGTCAGTCAGTCAATAACGAAACGGCAACCAATCGTAGCATGTTAACCACCAACATTACCCACATGTGTGTGTGTAATTCATTCGTGAATGTTAGCACACCTGTGTGGACTTTTTCACCATATGCGCCGTACGCAATTGCCAGCAGCGGCCGGGATCCGTCTTCGTGGCAGTTTTTGCCGCGAACTGATGATGCAAGCATCATGAAAGATGGTGGGTTTGCAAACAGAATGAGGGTTGAGATTGGTTGAGCTGGCACAGGCATTCGCAAGTGCACACACTCTCACTCACTCACTCACTCACTCACTCACTCACTCACTCACTCACTCACTCACTCACTCACTCACTCACTCACTCACTCACTCACTCACTCACTCACTCACTCTCCCACACACATTAGTCGTCTCACAGCGGGTCCTCACCAACGGTCATTGGGATGAAGACGTTGGCGTCTTCGCGGCTGGGCGCCCACAGCCGCTCGCACACAAACTGCACACGCACACACAAAAATGTGCATCAATGCACCAGTCGCACACACACACACACGTGCAGAAACGAACAGACACCTTGCCGTACAAACACGTACACATGCACATGCACACGCAATCTGCACAGGCAGTGCCGTACAAGGGACGGGTCGAACGCAGTCGTGGCATCAAGCTGTTCCCTGTACTCCTCCCATAGCCGGCGGCTCTGTGCACGAACAAGCGCAGTCATGAATCAGCAACCAATCAAGCCAACGCGCGTGTGATGTGGGTTGTCGCAAGGAAGTGAACTGTCACCATTGTCACTGCAACATCGGTGTGTTGACTTACAGCGAGGTCGTACGTGTACTCGATTCGCGGCTGCAGCGGCGTGCTCACGGAAAACCGCACACGCGTATCGTCAAAGTTGGGGTTGGCGAGAGACGTAATGACACCCACGCGCTCGTCCTGCAATGCGATGTGAACGCCGCAATCATCAATGCGTGAGACGGAGTGCGTTTTCGGCACGACAGGCAGGCAAGGCAAGGATGCAGCGTGGGAGAGCAGATCACACGACTCTGTTCTGGTGCAAACTACGCAGTGCACACAACACCACGCACATATGCACACGCGCGCACGCATAGGCAGAGCACCACCACGTCTTGACCTCTGGTAGCTGAATGTCATGTGTCGTGTTGGTGTCCAGTGCCAGCACTCTGATGAAAGGATCACCCTACTTGCCGAGCGAGACAGCCCCACACATGTGCACACGCATCAGTACATGTGTGTGTGTGAGTCGTGAGGTTGACAACACACCAATGTTTGTGGAGACTGCAAGTCAGCGTTGGGGCAGCAAGTGTGTCAGTTGAGAGACGGGCGCACCTGCTTTGACCGCTGGAAGAGAATGAGGTGGTTGTGGAACATCTCGCCATCCTCAATGATGACCTCATCGCTTTCGTGCATGTCATGAAGTAGAGTGGGATGTGGACGTGATCCGTTAATGTGAATGCTTCAAATATCAATGAAGCAGAAAACGCGGGCGCTTGATGCACAAAAGTGTACACGCGCATACATGCGCATACACGCGCAAATACACATACATACATACACACACGCACATACACACACGCACATACACACACACACATACACACACGCAAATACACACGCGCAAATACACACACGCAAATACACACACTCTCACGAGAGCACACACTAACCTTGATGGAAGCACGTCAATCCAGTTTGGTTTCGTTGGGTTGTTGGCCGGCGCGCGGCACACCTTGTAGTTGTCTGCACCGTCAGCGTCCGTCACAACGTAGAAGCTGTCACCAGCATGCTGCCTCATATGGGCACACGTGAGAGTGTTGTGGGTCCAAAAGCAGCGTGAGCGAACCAGCATGCGAGGAAAGAGGCGCGGGCTGATGCGCTTCATACCGCGTGTGCAACATCTCATCCCACCTCGACAAAGTAGTGGCAGTCGCCACGTGGGCAGAGGACGACAGCGCCATCAGTGAGCGCCTTGTCCGTGCGCAGTGCAGCCACCTCCGATGTGGTCTTGCTGTTGGCATTCAGTGTCAAGTACTTGCCATCCTAAACGAGTTGCAAAGGCAAAAGTAACAGAAGCAGCAGCAAACACACACTGAGATGGGCAATGCACCGAAATGTCAACACACACTCACATGCTCACTCACCCACTCACTCACACACTCACACACACACACACTCACATGCTCACTCACTCACTCACTCACTCACACACTCACGCACACACTCACACACACTCACTCACTCACGCCCTCACGCACACGCTCACTCACTCGCTCACACACTCACACACATACACACTCACTCACTCACACACACACTCACACACACGCACAAATACACATCTCTACGGCACCTTGGTCATGGAGATGTCCAGAAAGAAGCGGGGATCGGGGTCGTGCTGGAGAAGTGACGGCTGCGCACTCGCGTCCGTCAGATCTAAGCGATACAGCGAACTTGGGCGGCTAGAGCGACGTGCACGAACGAACCACAGGCACAAACGTGAGAGTGAGAGAGAGTGTGTGTGTGTGTGTGCCACACGCTGGTGAGCTCAACTTCATGATACCTCGGCCACCGTTCACACCAACACATGCAGGTAGCTTCACCCAACACGTACATGCGGCTTCGTCAATACGCATACACACACGTACACACACGCACACACACACACACGCACACACACACACACGCACGCACACACACACACATGAATTCACGTACACACATGCGTCCTACTTGAGATTGTCTGCGATGGTGTACAGGATGCAGTCGTTGCCGCCCTCAAATCCAAACTCCATGTTCACTGCACCATCGACACGCACCACAATGTCCATTGCGTCGCCCGCTCGCACATGCTTACGAGCATTGCCGCTGCTGCTGGTGCTGGTGTTGGTGGTGTTGGTGTTGTTGGTGGTACACGGCAGGGCAAACACGACCAGCGACGTCGCATTGGCGGCGTCAGGGTGTGCCACCACGCACGCGGCCAGCTTGTTGGATGGTGATATCTTCAACGAACTGCAGCAGTGAGGTGATGCCAGCACATGCGTGAACGAGATTGAACACACACACACGCACATTACATGCACACACACACACACACGGCTGCACAAGGGCAATGACTTTGTTGCCAGAGTCACGAACACTACACCTGATTGCGATGCTGTCTGCGCCAAGCACTTGCGCCAGCGTGCCGTGGTGCAGTACGACTTCCTGGGGTCCAAGTCCGTTCTCGGTGACACGCCGCCGCACCTCCACCTTGGGGCATGTGACATGCATGTGTGAGCGAATGTAGGTTCGAGGTTCGAGGCGACGAGGGGGGCGGGGTGACAGAGGATGGTGTTGTGCAGAGCAAGGAAAGCCACACAGCGTTGAACGCACCAGTGAGCCGTCCGCATCAACGACAGTGTCATAGGCGTAGCCATTCAAGCGTGTCGTGGGAGCAGCATCATCGGCGGGAGCATCCGCGTCAGGATCTTGGTGCCTGGGTGTTTGTGTGAGGGGACCAGGGCGAGCATGATGGCACGAATGTGAGGCAGGGCGCATGAGCAGACAGCCGGAAAGAAAGACGAGTGGAAATGGGTGATGATGGGTGGAGGATGAATGGGACTCACGCCTGTGGGTACAGCTCTCGCAGCAGCTGGTCCAAGAGCCTTCCAGCTGGCTTCAGCAACACCTTCTTCGCGTACCTGGACATGTGCGCATTGAGAGAATGCATATCACACAGGAGATGAAGGAAGCGGACAGGACGTGCACATTAGATATTCACACACACACACACACACACACACACACACACACACACACACACGCACGCACGACACACACACACACACACACACACACACACACACACACACACACACACACACACACACACACACACACACACAGGCAACGAGCAGTGCACCGTTCTTCGCGGCGGAGCTGCGCTTGTACATCGGCGTTGGCGAGGTCGCTGAGCCAGTGGTATTCATCGGTCCATGACTTGGTGCCACAGGTCATCGTGTATCCGAGCATCCGCTCTGCGCGCGGTGGCCCACCGCGAACAGAGGACACCACCTGATCCCACAGGCGCATCTGTCGCCGTGGCCCACGCTGCGTGTACTGGCAGGCCCTGCCACCGCCCAGACACCTCCGCGCACACCACCACCACCACCACCATGACGACTGCCACTGGCGGTTCACAATCGTCCGTGTTGTCATCCTCATCATCATCATCATTGCGTTTTGGTTTTTGGATGGAAGGACCACCACAAATGACAAGCAAGCAAGCTGCTGTGCAACCCGTGCGAACATGACATGTTCCTCAAGGCAGCAAGCACTGGCGCACATTGGCTCAAGAGAAAGAAAGGGCTGTGGTGTGTAACACAAGCAAAGGATGGCAGCTGGATGCATGTCTGAGCAAGCATCTGGGATTGCGTGGTTGTGGGCGGTGGTGTCAGGATTGGAGGAGAAGCGCTCGAATAGCTGGGGAGATGGTTGACTGTGCCAGCCATTCGTAGCCAGGCGGGCAGTGCGGGCACCAGCACCCTGGTCGCGTGGATAGCATGATGGCGGGGGGAACAGTGTGTGAGAATGGCAGTGGCAGCGGCAGTCTGGTCATCAGTGTGGTACAGCGACATGAGTGAAAGTAGAACGGCGAGCAAGCTGGTGTGTTGTGGTGTTGATGGAAGTTGCACGTGCACACCTTGTTGCCCAAAGCATTCTGACTGCGGCACAGGCCCGCACTTGTTGACAATCTGCAGGCAGAGCGAAGAATGGAAGGAATGGCTGCCGTGAGGGTTTCAGCTGTTGTGGCAGCAGGCAGCAGGTCGCAGAGGTACACACGTCTCGACATGCAAAAGGCACATGGTACAAATAGTACACACACACACACACACACACACACACACACACACACACACACACACACACACACACGTGCACACACACACACGTGCACACACACACGTGCACACACACACACACACACACACAAGTGCACACACGCACACACAAGTGCACACACACACACATACAGCAGGGCCATGGGCACTGACTGCGGAATGGAGGTTGACTGTGGGGATGCTGTGGGAGCGCATGAGTGCGATGGCTTGCTTGTTCAAGCGCAACACAATGTCATCCTGCTCAACACTACACAGCTCAGGAGAGGTGATGGCAAACAGCAGCGTGGCGTTGGTCTGCAGCAGCCGCTGCGTAATGGCAGTCAATGGCCCAATATAGTCTTCTTGGCGCCCGCTCTGCCCAGGCACGGGCGTGGCGTTGTTGGCCACCTGGTTGTGCAATCCTGCGGAATACACACCCATAAGGGAGCACAGCACACATGCGCGGTTGTGGTCATCATTGAGATCACGGAATTGCTTGCTTGCTTACTCGCATGCATGGAATGAATGGCCATCAGGTGAAGATGAGCGAAGGAAGGGGCATAGAAGCGGCAGAATGTTCGAAAGCATCATTGGACAAGAGAGACATGCACAAAGTGCACACACACACACACACACACACACACACACACACACACACACACACACACACACACACACACACACGCACACACACACACACGCACGCACGCACCCCAATTAAACATGATGAAATCCGGGTGGATCGGGTGGCCGGAGGAGGACGTGAGAAAATACTCCAGGCACTGCAGTCCATACGCAGTCTCGCACGCCCCTACAGAAACGCCAACAATGCGATAATGTAATGAGGGGGAAAGCAGCGATAGGAGTGTCATCGAATTGCGGTGCGCTGGTGTGGCCACTGTTTTGTAGAGGTGTCTACTGCCTTCCTAAGTTGTCAGCAGTCATCGCGGTACAAGTCACAGGACACACACACACACGCACACATATACACATACACACATGGACGAACCACCATCGCCGCTGTTGGGGCTGTGCTGCACATCGCAGATGTCAGCAAGCTGCTCCGCCACATAGGGCGTGTAGCTGCAGGACGTGGGTGGGGCAAAGCAGCGGTCGGTGAGGGCAGCGTTTTTGAAATGTCACCGACGCGCGTGTTGCATGAACCATGGGAGTACATCCAAACGACTGTCAGGAACCCACCACCACGCACATTTGCACAGCACAATACACACAACAAACCTGCACAACACGCACTGGACAGTACCCGATGGAAACGCTGTCGCCGATGATGAGACACTTCTTCTTGGTCTGGTTGAAGGGTCGCGAGATGCCGATCTTGCACACCTGTTTCCCCGTGACTGCTCCATCTTGACGGGTGGCGGCTGCACCGCCGCCTGGCACCTGCTTTGGAACGCAAGATGTGATCACATCCCAGCTGGTTCCAGAGTCCCGGCATTCGGTTCCCTCTGGACAGCAAGTGTAGCCATTGGAGCAGCACACGGCGTTGGGCATGGTGCAGCAGCCATACCTGTGTGGGTTTCAAGAGGGGGAGGGGTGGTACGCGCACACCAGTGGAAGTGAGAATCGGTATGCTACACAGCGTGTGAACGAACATCAAAGCAAGTACCTCGACAGTCAATGCAGACATGCGCAAGCATAGTGATGAAGCATGTGGCGTGTGTGTGTGAGTGTGAAAGTGTATGTGTGTGTATGTGAAAGTGGGTGAAGGTGTGTGTGTGTGTGTGTGTGTGTGTGTGCGTGCGTGCGTGTGTGTGTATGTGTGTGTGTGTGTGTGTGTGTGTGTACATACAGTGCATAGCACGCCCATGCGTGTGCATGGTGATGCAGGGCATGCTGCTCACCCGTTGGGACTCCACTTGTAGGGGCAGCATGTCGAGTTGTCGTTGCAGAACGTCGCGTTGTACATGGACGTTCCTTGAGTGGAGTGAAGGAGCAATACAGTGGAGCGTGACATACAAATGAATGTGCGCATGGCTGCAGCGAGGTTTGATCCGTGTCACATTGACGTTCAAGGGAACACCCCCACCAACACAAAGACAGACAACAAACACGACTCACCAGTGCAGAATCCGGTCAGCGAGACAGCATCGCGAGATGAAGCCTCCACATCCACCACGCCAGCTGCTTCTGTGGAAGGTAGCAACACCACAGCTTGGGCTGCCAATGCACACGCGACCACAAGCGCTGCCGCCGCTGCCGCTGCAGCAGAACGCCGATCCCAGCACTTCATCGTCATCCTCACCGTGTTTGGATTGCCGAATTATTGTGAATGTTTCCAACCATTTCTCCACAACCACCACCATCTCCAAACCCCCATCCCATCGAACGACAACAGCGGAGATGGCGCATCAGGTTGACTTCTTGGTCGCTGGCATCGACTTCAACACGGTGCGTCCTGCCCACAGCCTTGCCTTGTTGCCTGCACGCGATTTGTTGGTGTTCTTTGCCCACACCTTTGCATCAGTTGCAGTTACCTGGCAACTGCTGTTCCCTCGACTCACGCTTGCCTCTTCTCTGCTCTTGAAACACACACCCGCACATGCACACCCACCCACACACGCACACACATCCACATGCGAAACTTCTTGCACTCATACTGTTGCATTAGTTGGATGCACTGGAGCATCGACGCACGCTGGCATACATCAACGACTTTGTCACATCGACCACAAGCTTTCTCAACCATTTTTCCTCAGTCTGCGAAGAGGTGTGTGTGCGTGTGTGTGTGTGTCTGTCTGTCTGTCTTTGTCTGTGAGTATGAGTGTGAGTGTGCGTATCCGTCTGTCTGTTTGTTTGTCTGTCTGTCTGTCTGTCTGTCTGTTTGCCTCTGGCTGGGGTCGCGCTGCGACATACTGCATGCGTTGCGCCCATTGGCATTGACCCACCATGTGCATGTGCCCCTTCGTGTGCGTGTCTCCGGAACAGAAACTGTCGGATGTCTCCTTTCGCCTCCAGCGCTTGCAAATCACAACGTCCATTCTCGAGGACAAGGTACTTTTTTTGAACTGGCTTGCTTGTGTTTGTTCGAGCAACAAGCTACATTTCACATGTTTTCTCGTTGACAAGCACACACAACCACAGACAGTCTTGCCCACTCACTCACTCACACATTCACTCACGCACTCACCCATACGCGCATGCACACACTCACTCACTCACTCGCTCACACACTTACTCACTCACTCACACACACTTGCTTGCTCGTTCAGCTGGCCTCGATCAAGGGCCTGGAGAGTGTGACGGGAGAGACATACGTGTCCACAACAGAGACGCCAGCTCACCAACAGACACAAACACAACAGTCGCAACCACAACAACAACAACAATCACAACAACAACAACAACAACAACAACAACAACAACAACAACAACAACAATCACAGCAACCAGCACAACCAGCACAAGCGCAAGCGCCATCAGCCCCAGCAGAGCAGCAGCCGGGCACAGCGACTGGTGAGGGTGAAGCGCCTGCTGCACCAGCGGGCGCGGCCACGGTGGCCCGCAAAAACCATCCCATCCTCAAGCGTTACTTCCAGATGCTCAACTACGGTGTGCATCCACAGGCCGTCAAGGGCAAGCTGGAGCGCGAAACGGGCATGAGCGGCGACCTCCTCGAGTGAGTCCACACTTGTATTTTTCTGTTGCGTCGTGTTGTGTTGAGTTGCGTCGCACCGTGTCATGTGTTCGGAGGCCGGGGGGCTGCGCTTTGTTGCAGTGAGTTGTGTTGCTTGCATACGTACAAGCGCCTTCGCACATTGCGCCGTGTTTTGTGGCTCTAAAGGCCTGGTCTCCCCGCCATTGCTCACACCACCACCATTCACACCATCACACCATCACATCCTCCCCCCCCCACAACCACCACCACCACCACCATACTCACACCACGCCACCTCTGCTGCCCAGCGACCCTGATGCGCCAATGGAGGAGGGCACCGGTGGCGCAACAGCGGGCGTGCCGCCGCCGCCACCAACAGCCGCGCAGCAGAGCAGTGACGACGACTTCTCGTCATCATCGGGCGAGGACAGCAGTGATGATGACGATGATGACGACGATGATGACGACGACGACGATGATGATGATGATGATGATGGTGGTGCGAGCGATGCCACGAGTGGTGGCTCCGGGTCAGATGCAGAATTCTCCGATTAAGACACGCCCACGCTCACACTCAGTGGCTCATCGTCATTGTTTTCTTCACTTGCTTTGAATATCTTTGTTTGCTGTGCACAATGCCGATATGTTACTCTGCAACGCACACACGAACACGAACACACACACTCGCACACGCACGCACACTCGCACACACTTGCACACACTTGCACACGCGCACACACTCGCACACACTCGCACACACTCGCACACACACACAGTCTCTCTCTCTCTCTCTCTCTCTCTCTCTCTCTCTCTCTCTCTCTCTCTCTCTCTCTCTCTCTCTCGTGAGGACATACATTTGTGTTGTCAAATACAATCGCCATGCTTGCTGTCAGGCACGCGCGCACGTGTGCTCGTGCTTGTTGCGTCCCAGTGGTGTTCTTCGTCTTTGACCTGATGTCTTTGCTGTGTCATCTGTCTCCCACGAATCTGGCTCGGCTCCATCTGCCGCGTAGTTGTACCCGTGTGACAGCAACACCCGCCCAATCAATGAATGAATGAATGCGCGTACGCGTGTCCAGACAAATGTCGTCATTGGTGTATTCAGTGCCGTGTTTCTGCGTGCGCACACGAGCAAGCACGCACACCCACACATGCATGCATGCAGCACGGGAAAGAGAGAGCAGTAACTAGTCGCAATTTGAGAGGGACGGACGAAGGGAGGAACAAATACACGACAACAGACACAAACAGGCAAAGGGGGGGGAGGGGGTTGATATACAGCAAACAGGCGCATGAACACATGGGAGAGCAGCAGGGCAGGTGTGGCTGCACACACACACACACACACACACACACACACACACACACACACACACACAACAACAACAACAACAACAACAACAACAACAACAACAACAACAACAACAACAAAAAGGCAGCGTCAGGACATTGATCCAACACGTGATCTGTGTTCGAGACGGGCACGACAGCGCTCCAAGACACGCTGGCGCGTGGCGTGCACGGCCACATCAAGCTCGCGCGCCCACAGCTGCTGCGTTTCGGAAAACCCGGCCATTGTCGCCTCAACAAGCAGATCGACAGGCGTCGGCTCCCGCGCATTCGGCTGTCAGATGAAAAGAGACGCGGTGGTGGGTATTTGGGTTGGGGGGGGGTGGTGGTGGTGGTGGTGGTGGTGTTTGTGGTGGTGGTGTTTGTGGTGGTTGTGGTGGTTGGTTGGTTGGTTGTGGATCGTGGATCGTGAATTGTAAACGAGACACGAGTACGCAGGCACAGATACAGTTACAACCAGCAACTAACACACACCCATACACACACGCACATATACACACCTGGTCTAGTGGGGTAGATAATGGGGAAGGTTGTGCTGGTGACATGGTGTTTGCTGGCCCCACGGGCGAGAACGAGGCTGGCATGGACACGGTGCGTCGCACGCCCGCCATATCCGGTGAGTCAACCACCGACGGCGGCGGCCGCTTCGGGGTGGGCTCGCCGCTCCCGTCCTCATGCAGCTCCTGTGCAGTCCAGCCGCCGTGCCCGCGAGACGCAGCACGACGATAACAAGCAAGCAAGCAAAGTCACGGCATGCACAGCTGACACGTGAGCAGCTGCAAGCGATACAGAACAAACACAAACACAAACACATACACACACACACACAAGTGCATGGTGGGCAAGTTCATGGAGGGCAAAGCGACTGAGGGGGAGGAGGCCATCGTCACACAGAAAGGCTGAACGTACCGCCGGTTTGTGCCATTGTGACGTGCGCGTTTCTGTGTTGAAGTAGTAAGTCCTGCCCGTTCTCGAGTCTGTGTGAACCGTCCATTTCTACTCAGACATGCAGTGCAAAACCAAGGTGGACACGAGCGTTGCAACAAACGTAAGTAAGTGTAAGCAGTGAGTAGCCAGTGCTCCACGTCAGCAGCATGTAAAGGTGTGTTTGAAACTACAACGTCCATGCAGCATTGGCACCAGCACCAGCAACGCGCTGAGAACATTGGATTAGGCAGCAAGAAGAGTTGCACGCGTGCTGAAAACAAGCACCCAGAGGGATACGCACATTCGCTCCATCGCTGGTGCTGTTGCGCCTTTTTGCGTCCTGCCATCGCCTTGGCCCCGCAGGTGAGTGAACCGCTGCCGGCGATGACAATACGGACCCTGGATGGGGCATTCGCATGTGACTTTCACTCCTTCATACACAACCAACACATGCAAGCAAAGGCGGAGCAGTGGTGCGCGAAGAACACGTGAGCCACACTATCGCATGTCACAGACGTGCGCGCAACCCAGTGGTGGCAGGCATCAAAGGCACCAAAAGCAAGGTGTTGTTGGACTGCCAAGCAACATGGTCATCCTCATCCTCATCCTCATCATCATCATCATCATCATCGTCCTCATCATTCTCATCCTCATCGTCCTCATCATCATCATTGCTATCGACATGCTGTGACCAACACATTGGGTGGGAAGGTCTCTGAACTGGCTTGAACATGAGAGCACAGGGGCTTCGACTCACCATCGCCTTTGGGCGCGTGGCGAGTCATACTGTTGGTGGTGGTGTTGCTGGTGGTGGTGCTGTGGCGAGTCGTGGTGCGGATACGGCGGGCGCCTGTGGGAGAACGGGCTGTGTGGCGGTCGGTGTTCATGGTGGTGCTGGTGGTGTGGTGGTGGATGGGACTGTCTGCTGTGGGAAAACGATGGTGGTCGATATGGCGAGTGGTGGTGCTGGTGGTGTGGCGCAGGAGGCCCACTGCCCCAGCTGCTGCTGCTGCTGCCACTGCCACCACCTTCCCTGCTGTGGTTGTGGTGGTGGGGCGGTCGATATGCCATCGTGCGCCTGCGAAAATTGTGCGAAAATGCCAACAACAAATCTTCAAACTTGTGGTGTTGGTGTTGGTGTTGGTGTTGGTGTTGGTGTTGGTGTTGGTGTTGTGGTGGTGTTGGCCCTCCTGTCACATTTTCACATCACATCATCATTGTGTTTGTTGCATGGTGCACGTTGTTGGACGTCTTGCTTCATCGTTCTTGTGTTCAAGGAAGGATACGACGACAAGCAGTCATCCACTTGTGAAGCAGAGAACTTGCATCAACAAAGAAACGAAACAGAAACAAAGTGGAAACAGAACAGTGGTGCAAAACGAGGAAGACAGGAACAATCCACACACGCTGTCATTCATGACACACAAACACACGCACACGAACATCCATCCATCCATCCATGCGTGCAGTTGAGCCCAGTGGCGTCGGTCAGCAGGCAAGTTACTGGCTGCCGTCCTGGGGGCGGGAGAGGTAGGCAATGTCGTCCCACGGGTGGCGGTAGAGCCCTTGCTTGAGGCGGCGCTGGTCAAGGTAGTGCCCAATGAAGCCCGTGGTGCGACCAAGCACAAACAGCGCATTCAGGCCACCCATCTGGATGTAGTCGTTGGCCTCCTCCATGGTGAACGCACCCTGGTGACGCACAAGGACGGAGACGATCAAGGCGAACCAGGATTGTGTGTGTGTGTGTGTGTGTGTGTGTGTGTGTGTGTGTGTGTGTGTGTGTGTGTGTGTGTGTGTGTGTGTGTGACAAGGAGGGTGATGTCGTCGTGTGTGAGCGAGTTGAGGACCGCATGCGAGCGCAGCCACTGACAAGAGGTTGGCGGAACAACCAAAGTAGAAACACCACTGGCACGCTGCACAGGAATAGCACGTCAGGCAGCAAAGCGAAAGGCACGCAACCACAACTCCCTCCCGATATCGGCCTGGCTGCCATCACTTACGCATTCGCGAAGAAGATCGACAAAGGCAACAGCGATGACGCCGTCCACGTTCAGAATCAGGTTGGTCTTCTTGGCAGTCGTGATCTTCTCAACCTGGCCATTTTCGGTGCAGAGTGCGCCGGAGAAAGCAGAGATACGGGGGTCGGGGGCAACGCACGAATGTGAGCGGACAACCGCAACTAGGGACACACAAGAAGAGGAACTTGCACTTGGTGTGTGCTTGGTTGGTGCTGCGTGCGTGTGGTCTGCACATGCGCGTTGTGTATTGGTTGGTGTGCGTTACCTCGAGAGCGTAATCGAGAAGGGGCGTCTTGGGGAAGTGCTCCTGCACAAACTCCTTCATGATCACAACCCGCATGTCAGGGTTCGTCAGGCTCTTCACCTTGTGGCCTGTCGCGCGTTGTGTGTGTGTGAGTGTGAGTGTGTGTGTGTGTGTGTGTGTGTGAGTGTGTGTGTGTGTGTGTGAATGTGAATGTGTGAATGTGTGAATGTGTGTGAGTGTATGAATGCGTGTGTGTGTGAATGTGTGCGTGTGAATATGTGTGTGTGATGGGACGCATATGAGAGAAGACGTGTGTGAACGCAAGGACCAAGACGAGTCTCCCCCCGCCCCTCTCCTCCTCGGCATCGTGCGTACCAATGCCCATGATGAGGCGGTGCTGGCGGCGCATCGAGTCGACGAAATCGCGCGGGCTGAGGCCGGCGTCGTACGCCTCCGAGAACATGCGGGCAGCCCCATCAAGCGCACCGCCAAACCGGTCGCCCTGGCGTCGTGGACAGTGAATGGCGAGCAGAGGGTGAGCAGTGGCGGTGGGAGAGGAAGGTGGGGATTTACGCGGGAGGGGGGAGCAACCGCACAGATGAAAAGAGTATGTGGAAGTTGGAATTGGTGAATGGAGGTTCAAGTGTACATGCACATGTGTGTGTGTATGTCTGATCTGGCTTACGATGGTGAGGAGACCAGAGCAGAGGGACGACACAAGATCCTTGCCGGCGCGAGCTGCATTCACACACACACACACACACACGTCCACAGAGTGAGCGATGATAGGGTACCGGCAACGCACAAATGCAGGCTGAAGCCAGCAAACCAAGAGCGCCACAAGCAAGGGAAGGAGTGGAGCACGTATGCAATGTAGTGCGCACACCTGCAACGATGGTGTTGTGAGCGCCAGACACGGCAGGACCGTGGTCGGCCGTCACCATCAGCGCCATCTCGATGAACTTGCACGCATAGTCAGGCAGCCTGTGTACGTTGGGAGTGAGTGTTTACCATGGTGAGCTGTGTCATTCTTAGCCATCACACACACACACACACACCGATCTCAAATGCACAAATACACACGCCCCATCACGCAATCACACCATGACACGACCGTGCACCATTCCCTCCCCCCCCCCCGCGTATCTTTCTTCAAGTGCCATGGGGCGGACCTGCGCTGGAACCAGAGGAGAGAGATGACGCCGCCAATGCCAATGTTCTCCTTGAAGACGGCGGTGATGGGCATGCCCGCATACAGCAGCTCCTCTCCGCGCTCGTCGCTGATGGACGACACAAAGTTGGCCGACTTGCGGATCAGGCCAAGCTCCTGCGGCGTGGCAGGGAGGGGGGATACGAGGCATAACACGTGGATTGGGAGGAGAGAGAGAGAGAGAGAGAGAGAGAGAGAGAGAGACGGGATGAAGGTTGGGGAGAGAAGACATACAGAAGCAGACAGCAAAACAGGTGTTCACAAAGCCAACAAGCACAACACAGGAGCAAGCAAACAAAAATACGAGCCAAGCAAGCAAAGCGCAACACGTGTACACACACACACAAGCAAACAATCCACACATGCTACGTACCGCGGCCCACTTGTAGTCGATGGGGACCTTTGGCGGGGCGGGCTCAGGCTTGACGAGGATGACGCCCGAAGCAACAAGCTCCGAGTACGTCTTGTGGATCAGCTCACCAAGCGTGTCAAAGCTGGTAACGGCAAGTGGCAAGTGGCAAGCACGCACACCATGCATGAGAACCAAGGCGCGTTCTGGAAAGATGCGACTGGACAAGATCAACATTCACATAAACACACACGCACATGAACACACACGCACACATGAACACACTGGATGCCACAAGGACACCACCACGACAGCACCAACATCACTTCTTGGCACCTCTCTGGGACGAGTGCGCCGGCCTCCCTGAGGGCCTTGTTCTTGGCAAGCGCCGTCTCGCGGTCGCTGTGGGCACTCGCACCAGCGTGGCCAAACTGCACCTGTAGAGGCAAGATAAGGGCCAGGCAGGCAGCAGTGAGGAGGGATAGATGCGGAGATGAGGGCGAATGCGTGAATGTACATACGTCAACGCATGACAAGCAGACGTACACCCATGGGAACAACAGCAACAACAACAACTTAAACAACAACAACAACTTAAACAACTTAAACAACAACAACAACTTAAACAACTTAAACAACAACAACTTTAAACAACAACAACAGTGACAGGGAGGGAAAAATAACAAGGGGCGGGCATAAGGAACAGCATGCTATCGCATGCGCAGAACACAACGGCTTGCAAAGCAAGCGGGGCTGCACTGGCAACTGTTGCGGGTGTAACGTACGTCTGAGGAGAACATCTTGGCGCAGGTGCCGATGCACCAGGCAATGAGCGGCTTGTTGATGCGGCTCGACTTGAGCGCCTCGCAGCTGCACCACAAATGGCGTGAAGTCGTGTCGTCGTGTGAGCCAACGCGTCAGTCAATGTAGTGCGCAACAACACAACAGTTGCAACCGCTCATACACCTGCACATGAGTACGCACGCACACACATACGAACACACAAAGAAGGGGGGGGGGCTGCCCACTCGAACACATCCCATCACGTCGCATCAGACACGTTCGTACATGGCGTATTCCTCGATGCCGCCAACTTCGCCAAGGAGCACAAGCACCTTCGCATCCGGATCATCCTGCACACATGCACACAAGCACACACAAGCGAAAAACAAAAAAAAAAAAAAAAACGCAGCATGTGACAAACGTGAGGCTGTGCGATTGGAGGACCAGTGGACACTGATGGTGTGGTCCCAATGGAGATGAGGCACAGACGGTGCCCACAACAGCGCAGCAGTCAATGCCACGAGCGAGGTTGGGTGAAGGCAATTGCGACAATGACAACGACAGATGACGACGACGACGACAACAACAACAACTTAAACAACAACAACAATAACAATAACAACAACAACAACGGCAGCAGCACCTGGTAGCGGAGGAGGTGGTCCATGAAGGTTGAGCCGGGATAGCGGTCGCCGCCAATGGCAACGCCCTCGTACACGCCGTTGGAGTTGCGGGAGATGATGTTGTTGAGCTCGTTGGACATGCCGCCAGAACGCGACACATACGCGACGCTGCCCGGGCGGTACAGCTTGGCGGAGATGATGTTGTCAATCATGCCGCCCGTGTTGCCAATCTTGAAGCACCCGGGCTTGATCCCGCCAACCTGCACATGGTGACGGCAGTGGTGGTGGTGGTGGCGGTGGGTTATGCGAGGCGAAGAAGCCAGCGTATGTGCGTGCGTTGCATCTGCGCGGGATTCACGAAACAAGAAGCGCATCGCAAACAAACGGAATGACACATGCACCCTCCAGCACATGCCCACTCCAGCACATGCCCACTCCAGCACATGCACACTTGCCCACACCCATGCATCATCCCTCCACTCCATCCCCACTCCTGTCCCCCCTCTCCCTTGCGAACGTACGGTGGCAGGCCCGATGATGGTGACGCCGCGTGCGTTCGCCTCCTTGATGAGAAGGCGGGTCAGGTGCTCGGGAATGCCCTCGGCAATGATCGCAATCACCTTGATCTGCGGGAACTGGAGCGCAGCCAGCGTGCTGTCGTATGCAGACCGCAGCGACGCAAAGTTGATAAGCACGTCCACATCTGGGTTCTTCGCCATCGCCTCCTCCATTTTCTGACAGCAGCCAATGTGTTGGGGGAGCGGAGAGAGAAGACAAGTGAACAACAGTCACCGTCACGGAGGAAAAGCAATGTGAGCATGTTGTATCAGTCTTGATGTAATTCAATGCAAGTGCGCATGTGCAATACTTGAACATGTGCGCGGGAACATGACAGCTATTCAGGATTGTGTGTGTGTGTGTGTGTGTGTGTGTGTGTGTGTTACCTGGTAGACGGGGATGAGGACTTCCTTCGTGCCCCAGTAGAACTTCTGGGAGTGGTTGCCGCTGAAGGGGTAGATCATGCCCGCAACAGAGCCCTTTTCGCGCTTGCAGCAGTAGTCAAAGTCAAGCATGCCTGCAACCATCATGTGGGGTTACAACAAATCCGAGGGCAGAAGGCGTGCGGCATTTGAGCGAGTGAGTGAGTGTGTGATTGTGTGATTGTGTGTGTGTGTGTTTGTGTGTGCAATACGTGTGTGTGCAATACGTGTGTGTGTGTGTGTGTTTGCAAATCTCAATTCAATGTTGCAGGGGATGTGGGGAAACCCAACAACTCAGACGCAACCATTGCAGAGCGAGCATACCCTGGCAGGCGCGAGGCTGCATGCCGAAGAAGAGGGCGCGGGTCTTGTTGGTGAAGAGCGGCTTGTAGTCGCTGCCCTTGGTCGGCTCCGCCTGCACAGACTCTGCACACACAGCAGCGACGCCAAGCGCAACAGAGAATGAGAAGGCCGCACACAACAACACAGACGACAGCATCAACACGCACATACACACATGCGTACATACACATATACACACGTACACATGTGCACACACCCACAAGTGCACACACCCACGTGCACACAAGTGCACACAGGGGGCGAGGCAGAGAGCAGGTGCGCTCACTTGGTGGGGCGTGGACGGCCGGCTGCTGCGCCGGCGTGGTGCTGTCCGAGGTTGTCGCCATCAAGTTGGTCATGAAGCTCTCCTCGAGGGTGGTTGGGTCTGGCTTCTTGAGGCCCAGGGCCATGGCGACGATGGAGGTCATGTGCAGCTCCGGGCCGTACACATGGATGTCCAGGCCAAGCCGCTCGCCGGCGTCGCGCATGCACTTGAGACCCTCCTGCAAGGTGGTAGTGGGGAGGTGGCAGGTGGGCAAGTGGTGGTGGTGGTGGTGATAGTGAGGAGGTCCTGGTGAGGTTGTATCAGGTGCCAGAACTGGAACACCAACACGCGGGCACACAAGCAGAGACGCGCACCTGGAAGTTTGGACCACCGCGGCGCACGAAGATCTTGACCTTCTGCTCGTGCAAGATGCCGTGGTACTCATCCAGCGCACGGATGATGCCCTTGAACGTGGACGCCACGTTGGTAAAGTTGGCAATGCCACCGCCAATAATCAGCACCTTGCCGTCAGGGTGCGCCTCCCTGGTCATGAGAGACAGGATGGTCTTGGCGTACTCAAACGTCTGCGACTCGCTACACACCGGCATGCGTGTGTGTGTGTGTGTGTGTGTGTGTGTGTGTGTGTGTGTGTGTGCGTGCGTGTGTGTGTGTGTGTGTGTGTGTGTGTGTGTGTGTGTATGTGTGTGTGCGTGCGTGTGTGTGTGTGTGTGTGTGTGTGTGTGTGCGTGCGTGTGTGTGTGCGTGTGAGGAGCGACAGGAAGGCGGAGGAAGGCGGAGGAACAAGAGGAACAACAGAAACAAGTGGAAGAGGAAGAGGAAGAAACAAATCGCACACACACACACCCTCTCTTATTCACGTACCTTGGTGCGCCGGAGTACTCGCCGTAGTTGGCCAGCTCGCTCGCGCCGCCAAGGTCGCAGATGGTGTCGCTGGTGGGGTGGGGGTGACAACACAAGCAGTTGCAGGGGAGTGTGAAGGTGGGCGTGAGGGAAGAATGCATGAGTACATCAGCCCACATCAGCCCACATTGTCACCCATGACCTTGTCGCTCAACTCTTCACCAAGCACAAAGCAGTAAAGGCGCGCCCATAACAACAACAACAACAACAACAACAACAACAACAACAACAACAACAACAACAACAACAACAACAACAACAACTTAAACAACAACAACAACAACTTAAACAACAACAACAACAACTTAAACAACAACAACAACTTA